ACCTTTAAATACAATGAATTATATTTTTTTCTGTTTTTTTTCCTATTATATCACACTGTCAAAATCGTAGTTTATTTGACAAAGAGAAAAAATATGTAGGCATCAAACCTGACAAGTAATTTTAAAATATAGACTACCTGTCGAGTTAAGTCCCGTAGATCTGACCTATTCAGGCTGTTGTAGATTGTACTTTGGGATGGGGGAAAACACCAAGCATGAAGTTAGAAGTGCTACAGGATACACTGTTAGTCATCCCAAGAACTTTTACACTTCCTTATTTGAGGCCATGCCTACAAATACCCACTATGTGGCTTTGAAGCTGTACATCTTGCTGCTTGCCGAAGCCACATTAGGCTTCCATGTACAATTAAATAGTGTCAAGGATATGGACACTGATGTGAGGACAATTATCAGAATTCCCTTCTGTCCCTGAATGTCACTCCTGTGCAAGTTTCATACAACAGACCCCTTACTATATTTTCAGGACTGGTTTATTTCATTTAGCCTAGTTGCTTCAAGCTTCTTTCATGTTCTAGCATATGGTAGATTCCTTGTTTTTTTAAGGTAAGCAATAGCTCTTCCATTAACATGTTGTGTATATCCATTCCCCTGTTGATAGAAAATTGTAAATGGTTTGTCTTCACCCTTGACTAAGAAGAGAGATGCTATAAACACATGTGTATTATCTCTCTTAATTCTCTGGGTTGGACAGATTACATAAATTAATATCACTGTGGTGTAGCATACTAAAGATTAAATAACTGCTACCAAAGAACAGTCTATATTGCCTAACACATTACAGGTAGTTACTAAGCACAGATTTTGAAGCTTGGAGACAGGAATAATTGTTCTCTCATTAAAAATCCCTAAGACAAGGGATCTCTGTGAGTTCTAGACCAGGCTGGTCTACAAGAGCTAGTTCCGGGACAGACTCCAAAACCACAAACAAACTATGTCTCAAAAAAGAAAGCAAAAACAAATTTCCCAGACAATGTTGCAATTACCAATGGTAGCAAGAGAGCTAATTGGTGATATTGAGTCAGGGTAGGAATAGAAGACAGGAGAGAGAGAGGGGGGGGGGAAAGGGAGGAAGGGAGGGAGAGAAGGAGAGAGAGGGAGAGAGAGAACATAAAAGAGGGAGCCATTATTGGTTTGAAAAGAAAAATGAACCTAAAGAAAGATCTAGAGACCTAGAAGACTGCCACTAACTAACAATTTGAGCAACAATGGAAATACTACCATAAATGCCCTTCCTGGATAGTGAGATCAACAACTAATTCATCCACCATCATGGAGCCCTCATCTAGTATCTATTGGAAACAGAAGCAAACACCCATACATAAACACTGAGTTGAACTAGGATCCAGATGCAGATGGAGAGGACAAGACCAGGTTGCAGAAACACATAGAGACAGCTGACCTGAACAATGAGAAGCTAACAGGCCACCAGACTGATAGCTGGAAATCCAGCATGGGACTGACTCAGGCCCCCCCTGAATATGGGTCTCAGCCAGAAGGCCTGAGCAGTCTAAGGGACTTCAGACAGTGGGACCAGGATATATTCCTGGTACACAAAAGGTCTAGAGAACTACAAGACTGCCACCAACTAACAATTTGAGCAACCGTGGAAAGGCTACCATAAATGCCCTTCCCAGATAGTAACATCAACAACTATCTTATCCATGGAGCCCTCATCTAATACCTGTTGGAAACAGAAGCAAACACCCATACCTAAACACTGAGTCGAACTAGAATCCAGATACAGACAGAGAGGACAAGACCAGGTTGCAGAAAAACATAGAGACAGCTGACCTGAACAAGAAGGAGCTAACGGCCACCCAGATTGATAGCTGGGAATCCAGCATGGGACTGACTCAGGCCCCCCTGAATATGGGTCTCAGCCAGAAGGCCTGAGGAGACTAAGAGACCTCAGACAGTGGAACCAGGATGTATTCCTGGTGCACAAAAGGACCTTGTGGACACATCCCCCATGGAAGGATACTGCCTTCATCTAGAGACAGGAGAGAAGTCCTAGTCCCTACTTCAAATGACTTGACATGACCCCACCTGGATGGCATTGCCCTACATGTGGAATTGGGGTGGAAGGATGGGAGGGGAGGGTGGGCATGGTTCATGTGAGGGGGCAGAGAGGGTAAGTGAGAGGGAGGGAGAGAGAGGGAACTAGGATTGACATGTAAAATAAAAAATAAATAAATAAAAGCAAAGTTGGGGGCTGGAGAAGTGGCTCAGCAGGAAAAAGTGCTTGGTGCTCTTCCAGGGGACACAAATTCACTTCCCAGTGCCTACGTGGGGTTGAGTAATTTACAATACCCTGTAAATCCAGTTTCAGGGGATACAGTGATTTAAGACTTCTGTGTATACCACTACACATGTATATATGCACATATAGTCAAAAATAAAAACATGTAGACATATACTAGTACATAATTTTAAATGTATATTTTTGTCATTTTTTAAACAATCTTTTCTTATTTTCCATACCAATCCCAGTCCTCACTCCCTCCCCCTCCCTCCTTCTGCTACCCACTTCATCCACCCACCTGACCCTCTTCACTCCTCAGAGAGGTTAAGACTTCTCATGAAGAGTCAACAAAGTCTGGCATAGTACTCTGAGGCAGGATCAAGGCCCTCCCCCGCTATATCTGGGCTGAGCAAAGTCAGCCCTCCAAAGAGAATGGGCTCCAAAAGCAAGTTCCAGTACTAGGGATAAATCTTGGGTCCCAGTGTCATTGGCTCCACAGACTGACCAAGCCACACTATTGTCACCCACATTCTTAGGGCCTAATTTGGTCCTGTGCAGGTTCATTCCCCTGCTGTCAATCCAGACTCAGTGAGCTCCCACTAGCTCAGGTCAGCTGTTTCTGTGGGTTTTCTGAAACTGGTCTTAACCCCTTTGCTCATAATATTGCACCTCCCTCAAGTCAGCTGGACTCTGGGAGCTCAGTCCAGTGAATACTTGTGGATCTCTGCATCTACTTCTGTTAGTTACTGAATGAAGATTCTATGATGATAATTCAATGAATCACCAATCTTATTACAGGGGAAGGGCAGTTCAGGCACCCTCCCCACTGATGCTTAGAGTCTTAGCTGGGGTCATCCTTGTGGATTCCTGGAAATGAAATAAATAAATAAATAAATACATAAATAAATAAAAGACTAAATCAGGAGACAGTGAAATGAATCAGGAAGAGTAGTCATAGCAAGGGGGAAATTTTTTTTAAACTTCCTTTTTCCTTAAGATTCTTGTTCATAGTGTTTTTTTCTATCATTTCTTTCCTCCCCTCCTTTGCAATTTCAAAAAAATATTCCCATCAGTCTGAACTCATGTGTTTTGAGATTCATACAAGACAAACTACCATTTATAGTCATTTTTCTCTGAAGCTGGTGTTGGTGTAGGTAATACATCCCAAATAATTGGAACTTTTTATAACCTGTCCGCACAACATATGTTGATAGAACAATCCATGCTGAAGTGTGTTATCTGTATTGCATCAAATCAAATCAAACCTGCACTTTATGTACTACTGTAAGCCACATAGATAACAAACTTCAGGATGAATTTCTAAATTCATTCATGATGTTTGGATAGAGTGACCAGAACACTCTGATTAATATTTCAACCCTAAGTTGCTGCCATTGATCTTGCTATCACAGCCTTATATCTCAGTCTCAGCTGACTTAAACTCATTGTTAGTATCAATGCACAAAACATTTAATCATATTAGTTGTGGCACAATAAAATAAAGAATGTGTAGGCAATGTCATATTTCATGAGGTTATTCATCCCATCATGTATCTGAGAACTTTTCCCTTCTTTAAGTTCAGCTGTATTTCCCTCATGGCATGAGACAATGATGATGTTCAGAAATTTCTGTGGAAAGGCACTCTTTTAGATTTTCCCATTGCAAATCCAGTTATCCAAATCACATATTATGTTTTAATTTACAAGGATGAACTCTTTCAGTAGTATTGTAGACAATTGTGATTCTGTTGACAAATAACATATCTCGTATCTTTGTTTTGTGATTGAAAAGAAATTGAGTTCCTTATGTTTCTCTGTAAACAAATGGAACCTGCCACTTCCTACTCCATCCAGTGTAACACACAACTCTCTCTCTCTCTCTCTCTCTCTCTCTCTCTCTCTCTCTCTCTCTCTCTCTCTCTCTCTCTCACTCACACACACACACACACACTCTGGTGATCTTGTGAAGAAACTAACTGTAAACTCAAGTCTATAAAATTCAGGGAGTGTCATTAAGTCTCTAATTCAATTTTCATTAACTTTCTTAGACTTTTGCATATTTTTCTCAAAACCTGATTTAAACTTGGAAAATGATGACTTTAAAATATGGACTCTCTCCTGTGATTTTTCATATATGTAGCCATTACTTCATGAAAATAAATCTGAGTAATCCTGATGTTTTATTGCCTCACGTTTTCCCCATCTCATCATACAAGGAGACTGGCTTAAAAATCATCCACATTTCATTTCCTGTGACTTTATTCTGCTCATTTGGCAATCTCTCTCAGTCTCTAGTATGTATCAAAGCAAGTGCCATGGCTGCCCTGCTTGACTCAACAACAAGCAGCCCACTAGTAGTAGACAGAGGGTTTACATTTCTTCTCCTTTCAACATGTTTTGGTATGGTATGGTATGTATGGTGTGGTATTGTATGGTATCATACGTTGTCATATTCTATGGTATCTTATGGTATGATATATCTTATTGTATCATTTGGTATGGTATGGTATCATATGGTATGGTACAGCCACTTTTCTCTTAATTTAAGCACAGTAATTTATAGGGAAATATTTTAAAGCACCTCCTAAGTTTTCTTATTCCATTTCTGCACCATGAGTTACCAAGGAGAATCCTCTCCTTCCATGAACTTCCTAGAATATTCAGTTGTGTGCTCCATCTGAAATATGACTTCTTGCTTAAATCGGTTTTAATTTCTCTTTGATTTTTGCATGTCAAGCTCCCAGTCAGCCACCAGGAAATGTCATTTGGAATGCTACGGACACCAAAGTGTTACTTAATTGGGAACAAGTAAAAGCAATGGAGAATGAATCAGAGGTAACAGGTTACAAGGTCAGTTGTGATTTAGGCTACTTTATATTTCCCAACTTTGCAAATGTACTCCTAGGAAAGCTAAGTGGAAAGAAAAATTTTAAGATGTAAATGATATGGTTTCAATCTAATTTTCACATAAAAATATCAAGCTTTTTATTTAAAGAGCATTTCCTCAAAATATCTGACTTGTTAAATATTGTTATGTGAGTTAATTTTGCTTATATGGAATTTAAACACAATGGTTATAACTTGTAATATTTACTTTCAATGCTCACCAAATACTATCTTAAAAACATCTGTAAGTTTTGCCCATGATTCCTTGTCTGCACTAACAAAAGACACACTCCACATGGCTGTGTCTGTTCTATCTATGCAAAGAGAAGTATTTTGGGGGAGAAGAGGCAGTAGGCATGACTTCCTACTGTCATCATTAGCAGCCTGAAGAGTTCCCTGGACTTTTGTGGAGGCTGGCACAGGCTAAACAATATTCACAAATTCAACCCAGGAAGGGATTTTAGTTTATCCAGTTTATGAAGCAGAGTTGGGTTTATTAATGATATGTTAAGTAATCTTAATCTTTAGAGTTAAAAGAAAGAAAGGTGCCCAGGTGATATACTCTAGAGCATGGATGTAGGCTTCTTAAAGAAGATGCACAGAAAATAAGACACATCTAAGTGTAGCTACCATTTCCTCATGTAAGGGTCATGCTCATTGTTTTTTTTTTTTTTATAATAATATGTAAAATATCATTGAGCTTTGAAATTACTGTAGTCACAAGGTTGCTTGGAAGCTTAAATGATAGTGTTGGGAGATCTCTGAGAGGCAACTGGTGGAATTGCAGTTGGTAAGGTAAAGTCTAGCTCACAAGAATTTTAGAAAATAGCATCTATTTGCTTTATACAAAAGCAGCAGTTTTGTTTAAGATCCTTGGAGGATAACTGATGAAAAAGTGTAGCCCTCCCCAGAGTCCAGGCCATACCCAAAATCTTATACCTTTTGCATAAAGCTTGAGTAGCTTTTACTTTATACAAATCATCTATCAGAAACAGAATGCCAGTTTTATGTGGTCTTCCTTTATAACAAATATAAATGGTTAAAAATTTTTGCTTCAAGGCTGGGATAGGTTTCAATCAGACTCGTGAACAAGGGTGTCCTCCTTTCACAAAATGTCCCATAATTTCCTGGTGTTTCTATTTTATATCACTCATCAATGCCCAACCTGAGGTTTTCCATGGAAAAAGTTCAGAACTCACCCAACCTCCTCAGTTTTGAGAACATGATGATTCCACTGTGTTTACCCATGTTTAAGATCCATAAACTTGGAGTGCACTTTATAGTCTAGAGGTGTAGCGACAAGTCCTTTTGAAGTGACAGTTTTGTAAAGGACATAAGAGCTACCTATACATAAAGTATGTTTGCTTATGTTTCCTAGGTTTTCTATAGGACTAGCAGTCAAAACAGTGTGCAAGTACTTAACACAAATAAAACTTCAGCTGAACTTTTGCTGCCAATCAAAGAAGACTACATTATTGAAGTTAAGGCCACTACAGATGGAGGGGATGGCACCAGTAGTGAGCAGATCAGGATTCCAAGAATAACCAGTAAGCTGACTGAACTCAATCCCTACTTCACTCTCATCACTTATCAATGTAACTTATAATGAGTCAGTGATTGACATGCTGCCTGTACATTTTTTCCCAGCATGCCTTTGGTATGCATGGGGCATGGGCTATAAGAATGGGGAGAAAAACATGGGAGAAGAAAAGGCATTAAACACTGTTTAGCAAAATTTATTATTTTAACTCCTTATTTTGAGTTCTCCTTATATTTTCCTTGAGATTAATTGCCTAGATCCAATTTACCTAAACCCTTCTCAAGGGGTAGCATTGAGCCACAGAGATGTTTTCACATTTTTAATATTGCAAAGTGTGGCAACTCAAGCAAATAATCTTAAGACTCAAAAGTCACAACTAGGAAGATCCTAATGTCCAAATCAATCTAGGCTATGTGGTTGTAATTAAAGGACAGCCCTAGATACATAGTGTGAACCTATCATTTCTGAATTGATTGGCCCCTTCTAATTGCAGGCAAATATAGGGTCTTTTGTAGAAAAATTGATATTTGTAACATCATAATCCATTTATATGTACTAGACAGAGAAACAAGATCTTAAAGTATCTATTTTTTTTAATTTCACAGAAGTTATACTTCTGTGCAACTACAATCTTTCATCTTTAAAATGAAGTAGCTGATATTAGCAACTGAAGAGCAGAAATTTTGACAACATGGAAAAATTTCATTTTCTGTGAAAATATCTTGACTAAAATACATAAATCCAAATATCCTAGGAAAATGACTGATAATTATGCCAGCACTTTACTGTGTGACTCAGTCTGTGAAAGCCATTTCTGACTAGGGATTATCCCCCAAATCTATGCAATTCAATGGATACTGTTGAATAGGCCAAAAGAGAAACAGATTTACATTTATTATGAGCACTTTAAGTTTGCTTTAAAGATTAAAAAAAAATGTGTATGTGTGTGCGAGTGAGCATGTATGCATGCGTGTGTGCATGCATGTATGTGTGTGTGTGTGTGTCTGTCTGTCTGTCTGTCTGCCTGCCTGTCAGTCTATCTATGTGCCTCTCTGAGCCAAAAGAGAATATCATTCGGATCACTTAGAGCTGGACTTATAGGCAATTCTTTTGAGCAACCTGACATGGATGCTGTGAATGGAACTTTGGTCTTCACCAACAGCAGGGCTCATCCCATCTCATCAGTCTTGATTGTTTTGGCTTTTTAATATGGAGCACATACTTCTTTTTCTCCAGTAGTGTGAGCTGTAGAGTTAAAATGACAATCTAGGCAGCAGGGCTGGTAGTGTAAGGAAGCACTGTGCTTCTGCAGAGAGAAGCACAGAGGACCACTTTTCCCTTGCCTTGCATTCTCCCTTACATCTACAATAATAATCTTCCCCATACTTTAGGAGTAGTCATGTTCTCCTCTTTTTATTGCCTGTTTCCATTCAGCAGCAACTGCCTAGTCTGGAGCACCTAACCCTTTGCTGATCTTGTGCAGTCAGGTGATTATATAGGGTTGTCTTTGAAAATGGAGTTTCTACTGAACATTTTACAAAGATGCTATTTCATATCATGCATAAAATGTGTCTGCATAGAGACAAGCCGATTTTCTAAACCTTTATCCAATGAATCTTTCTTTAATTAAACTATCAAATTATTCTACCAGTTGTTTGTAATCAAGTCTAATCATTTTCACGATGATGAAGTTGTTTTTCCAATTCCAATTAAAGTTTAAGTGTATGAAATGAACAGACTGGAGTCATTTACTAACACTTGGACATATTGGTGACTTACAGGTACTGTTAGCAGCCAAAGTGTGTGCTACAGAAGTAAATAAGGAATAACTGTGATTCTAGGTTAGGCTTGTGTTGTAATTTAATTTTGATAGAACAGCCATTACTCTTGTTTTTAATGTGTCTTGTTCATTCATACTACTGTATTTTAGAGAGGAGGTAGAAACCCTAGCTGTACTGAAACTCGTTCTGTGACCAGACTGGTTTTGAACTCAGAGATCTGTCTATTGCCTTCTGAGTGCTGGTATTATCGACTGCATCACTACTGTCAGTTTCAAACTACTTTTATGAAAGTATCATGATCTGCCTGTTTTATAACTACAAAAAATGTTTCTCATGATTTCAGAGGACAGAAAAATCGAAGATTAGACTACCAGATTTACAAACATTTGCAAAATATTCCATACCAAATTTTACAACAGAAACTGAGATTTCCCCTTTTGGGTTCTTATTGTTAATATCAAAGGAATTTAGATATGGACTCCTTACTCAATTGAGTGCAATTTTATTAGAGTTTAGGAGAAAAGCAACAGGGCAGGCAAACTGTCAAACTGGCAGGTGGCAGATTGGAGATGGAGAACAGGAAGAGGAAAGGTCATGGTTTTTGTCATTAAGGCCACCAAACAGCCTCATGATAAAACAACAGCAACAAAAGGGAGAATGAGAGCCTCTGAGAATGAGTAAGAGAACCCAGAGTGTCTGGAACTGTTTGCTTAGTCTTTGGGCCATTGTCCAAAACTGAGACAAAGGAAAATAATTAATTGGGACTCAGAAATAAGCATGCCACATAGCTAGCCTCCACCATGCTGCCTTGTAGAAGGTCTTTAATTATTTTCACTAAGGGTCTTCTGGGAAGTAAAAGTATATCATCAAATTCAGGGAATAATTATTCTTCCCATTTTACCATGACTTCAGAATATTCAGATTTCCTGGGGGAGTGGACTCCTGACTAGGGAATGAAAAGGCCCAGGCATAGTGATAGAATGCATAGTCAATTCTTTTGACTAGGAGGAAGAAGATCTGCCCTAAAAGGCCTCAGTACATCCCTGTTGCCTTGGCCTTTTCACATGGTAATTTAAATCTAAGGAGTGGCAAAACTGATGCTTAAGATTCTTGAGTTACCTGGAAAGCCTGGATTAGGGTCCAGTGTTTCAAAGACCTGCAAGACTACTACGATAGCATGAAAATCATCAGGGCTGAACACAGGGTTTCAGCATGATTCCAGAGAGAACAGAAGCACTCAGTATGTAGTGTCCTGACCGCCTTTACTAACACACCATGTATCATCTTTTACAGGTATGGATGCAAGAGGATCCACATCAGCCATTTCTAACCTCCACCCTGTGTCAGGTTACATATCTGTCCTACTGTTCTTTATTGTAGATGCTCTGTGGTGAGAGACATTTTTTTATTATTATTTACTGGAAAATTAATTGGTTACCACAAAAAGTGCTTTCTGAAACAGTGATTATGCATGTTTTTTTTTTCAGCTATGTGTTTTTAAATTTCTACTCCATTATAGGTAAATTATGAATATAATAAAAACAGCAAATCCTTTTAGAGGAATCTGAAATGCCTTAATATTTGCTTGGTAAACCAAAGGAATTTGAAAATTACATACTGCAAACTTTTGATATAAATGTTCTAATGTTATAGTTTAATTGCTGCCTACATGTGAGGCACATACAAACACAGGACACACGCTCACACACAAAACCCACATTTGATATGTAGAAACAAATAATGCATATACAGTACAGACACACACACACACTAACATAAACTGTTTTTCTACATTAAAGAACTCCTCATTTATTCCAAATGTTCTTTTCCCATTGTCACAATATCACCTATCGTTTTTAAATTGCCAATTTGAATCCCTCAGAGTAAAAATACACAAGGACAGTTATTATGCTGGAAGGGTGTGGCCTGTGATTCCACAGGGTATTGTGCTATGAGCTTGAGCAAGTGACATTTGCTGCAGTGTACTGCTGTATGGCTATGACATTCCCCTAGTCATTTTGTTCTGTTGTCTCTGTTATTCATTCTATGAAATGAGGGGGTTACTATTTTTCCCATCTACTTTTCCTGCAAGAATTAGCTGTTAAAAAAAAACATAGAGGAGAATATGAAAAGCACATGTTTCTCCTACAAGCGGTGTGTCTGTGCAGAAAATTACATGAACTTCCTACAGTGACATACATGCAAACCAGGCTCCTTTTCGAAGCTTGCTGGAATTGCATGCTCTCAGTAGGATTATCTGTCTCATTCGAAGATGGAAACTGAACCTGAGTGAATATTATAACATATTTTGTTTCTGTTCATATTTATAAAGAAAAAGATGGTACCTGGAAATGAATATATTTCATCCTGTCTCAAAATTAAAATGAAATAATTAAGAGTTCATTCCCTTCACATGTGAAAATAAGCTTTCAGGCTTTTAAAAAAAAAACCTGGTAGGGAAAAGAAGAAACAACCTGTATCTTAACCCAAATATGAAACAAAATGCACACAATTCTCCATTTCCAATTTTTGATTCCATTAAGGGGCCCTGTCTCTGTTTGGATGGCAGAGATGATTTTTTAACAAAATCCTGTCTATCTAATCAAGTCAGGCAGGCTTTTTCATTGTTACCAAGTTAAATTTGTAATAGAACATGGTGATGCTGCTGGATTTGATACAGATGACTCAGTCTTTCAATATGTGGTTTTCAAAAGAGTGTGAAAGACATGACTTCACAGCAATATATAAAAACTATATGAAAATCAGCAGGCTGGGTGTGAGACATTCAAAATCAATTTTTTTACCTCTTGCCTACCAATTTCGTATATTGCTAGAATTTGCTCATATTACCAAAGGTAGAAAAATTACAAAACAATGGAGCAGCTCTCAAGAAACACTAAAAATTAGCCAAATTCTGATATTACCCTTCGTTTGGAGATTCCATTTAAGACAAGGTCATGATGTGAAAAGGAGAATGATTTTTTTTTTTACATTTCTCTGTAGAGTCTGTATATATTGTACATATCCAGAAGAAATCTGAATGACTAGTTGTTTTCATATGATCATTGTTATTCCCAGTCCAAAAGTGTGGAAAGACTTTCTACAATCCCAGTGCTTTACAGTCCATGAAACAGAACTATACCTTTTTATTATCTGACGACTCCTAGAATTTGTTCTTATACTTTACTTTTGCAAGATGGCAGTTCTCATTTCCTGTTTTTTCTATCAGTATATCTCCATGAGATGTCGACACTGTTTCATATTGAAAAGTCTAAATTTTACTCTTTAAATTCCCGTGTGTGTATCCTATGGTTATGTGTATGCATTATTTTCTATTATTCTAATAAAATTTATAATAATCCAAATACTTCTGTGTTGCTCATTGTGGTTTTGGTGGAGGGAAACATCTGCATGAGAAGAGGGGGACCTCATTAGAGTGACAATGTCACTGCCCTTCCTTAAGTTTGTGTTGTTGCTTTTGCTCTTTCTGCTCCTCCACCTCCTCCTTTTTTCAGTCAACATTTGACTTTACATCTTTTAGGGGAATGTTTTAAAAACTTTTGTTTATGATCTGCTGACAGTGATCTCTATACATTCCATATGAGTCATGTGTGCATCACAGGGCTTGAAAGAAGAAGCAGAAAACTTTTCTAACAGGATTATGATGCCGAATTTTTCTCACTCCATTTTTGGGATGTATAGAAATTCACAAATTTTTTGGCAAAAGCGTTTATTTCTTCTTAGAAACAGTGTCAGTGTACCACATTCTATGTAGACTTTTCTGTTTGGAATCAGAGTTAGACTACTTGAAACAATCACTCTGATACATGACATTCTAAATATTTATAAAAACTTAATAATGATTCAGCTTTGAAGTAGTAAACAATTTCAAATTTGACTTTGGGTATAGAAGAATTAAGAAGGAAAACTCAGTAAGGAGATCTATCTCTCCCTTTCTCCCTCTCTCCACATCTCTCATTCTTTGTGTGTTTGTGTGTGTGTGTGTGTGTGTGTGTGTTTAAATTTAAGCCTGGTTTAGATTAGTGTCTTCTAATTAAAGGCAAATACCTGGACAGCATGCAGATAGAGATTATGCCCTCAGCAGTCCTAATGTCTAATGCTGGTGGGCATAGAAGGATTAGAGACCATCTTTTAGGAACTGCTGATCATGGGCTCTTGCTGAAGTTTAAAAGCCTTTAATTTCCTGGCTGAAGAATTCAGGAATGGTAGAATTCCCCTCATAGACTTCTGTCTATGCTCCTTCGTGCAAAATGTCTTGTGGGTGAGCTGAAACTGTTGACACTACCCATTTATGAGTAGGGAGCTAGTAAGTTAATTGGTGTGTGTAACTCATACAGAGTCATACTATTATCTTTATTGCCATAGGTAGGAAATCAATCACCATGGAAAATAAAAGACCTCCTTCAGAAGGTAGTTTTATGGCTATCTTTTAATTTCATTGTATTAAAGACAAGGTTACATAATGCTAAGAGCTTTTAGAAGAGATGATTCTAGAATTCAGTTTATTTTTAACAGAAAGTTCCTTGTTTTTTTCTCCTTGACACCCTGAGTTAATGTTTACAACATGTCCTTAGTTAGGTCCCATGAAGCCCATTTCACAGATGATGAACAGTTAGCAATTTGCACAAGGTCACTCAGTGACAGGCATAGTAAAATACAACTCAAAGTAATTCAGTTTCAACTATTGAACATTAAGTGGGTTGGAGCTCTTTGTCCCTCTTAACATTAGCACACCCGGCTAATGTCTGGTCTGGGCCTCCCTATGTTGAATTCATAGTGGACCTTGTTCCTCTTTTATTGAGCACATAATCATGGAACCTAAAAATTCTTAATTAATTTGCATTATACTTTTACTTTAAATCTTTTGAAGATGGCACAAGTTGATTTTCAATCATTTTGCCACATTCAGTGGAAACCAACCAGTAAGATGAAGAAAATGTGAAATGATTAGAATGTTTCAAATTCCTCTTTTCCAATTAAAATCCCTCCTGCTGGTTCAAATTTGCACAATGACAGCTTTTTATTTAAAATTAATCTTAATTGGGCCCATTCTTTCTAAAACATTTTATCCTTCCTAAAAATGAAAGAAAAAAAGTGTGGATATTCATTGTAAATTGGACATACTTCAGTAAATATTGCAAGTAAAACCAACCCACAATAGCAATTATGAAATCAGCAATTAGTAAATGCTACCATTCTCTTGAAAGAAAATATGTAAACAGATTACACTACAGTGCATTTTCAATCGTCAGATTACTTTGGTTTTTATTTAGACCTGTACCTTAATTTAACACAACTTACTTTACATTCAGGTAATAATTACCTCTTCGACTTAACAGAGAATCCATACACTGATAAGAAAATTACACTTGCAAAGGATGACCTCTTCCCATACTTATCAGCATTTATTTTTATTTTATTCCTCTTCCACCATTTGAAATGATCTTAGCTCCTGTGATTCTACCTTGATCATCAATACTGTGGGGAAGAGAATCAGGCTCTATGTAATTGGATATTACCTGAGGAGACTAAGAAAAGGCAGCAACAAATGATAAGGCTGGCAAATGAGCACATATGCTCCAGCTTCTAGTAGAAAATGACAGACACAAAACTCTCATGTAAAACATACACTGTACCTGGCTAATGAGGAAGTGAAATGTCCCTGTCATTCTGATTCATGCATCAGCTCCACCTTTCCTGAACATCCTCAGAGGAAATGGTTTTGCCAGGTTAAAGTTTAAAGATGAAAACACAGAATCCTCTTTGGGATGTTTACCTCTGTACCACACTGCCCTTGTAGGGGGCTCCTCTTTCCATGCTCATTACCAACTTGAAGGAATAACCATCCAGTTTTCTTATTTTACTTCTGTCATTTTTCCTCCTGTATCATTCCTGCAGATGATAAATTATGGCCCTTAGGAAAATAAGGGATGTTATACAGTATATATAAATCATTTAAAATAGCAGACACATTGTGTTGAAGATGTTAACATATCTGGGAAGAAGTAGCAGCAGAGTCTGATTAGAATCCTAATGATGCTCCTAGAAAAACATGTGACCTTTGGTATATAGGCTAATTCTTCCAAATGTTTACACACACACACACACACACACACCAGATGTGATTTCATGAATCTTTTATCAGACTTTGGTTAATGGTTACTCAAAACCACTGTGTAGTAAATTAATAATACTGACTGTTCTGTTATTATGCTTCAGATTCTGGACCATTCTTTTAAGAGTTAATAGATCTTCACTAGAACAAAGTACACCACAAATTGTGGTGCACTGACCACTCAGTTTCAGGTCTCTGCCCTCTGTGTCTGAGATAGGGCAGACCTTTCTCTCAGGATCCTCTTATACTAAAGCGGGGAAAGAACAACAGAAAATAGGAGAGGGAAGAGGACTCTTAGAGTATATGCTGGAATGGTTGTTAAGCACTGAGGCCTTAATGGAGTGCTATCTTAATTGAGCTTTCTGTGAATACAGAACAAGCTTAGCTTCTACTGACAAAATTCTTAGTCACTTAGAGCAGGACCCTCATGCTCATGAAGAGACCGCAGGGGAAGGCCAGAGGACTTTTTCACAGATGTCATTCAGAAAGGTATGAAAGCAGAAGATGAATGCTTGACTTGTCTTTTAAGGGTGTTTAGTACTGTTCTGCCA